GCAAAATGTCGCCAAGTCAGCAGCAGCAGCATCAGCAAAGCAATCAACCTGATTCAATGGGACCATATGGCCGTCCGAATCCCTTTCCCTATCTCAATCCGAATCGACCCAATTTGCCGTATGGTGCAACTGGCGGAACCTCTGCAACGGAANTCCGCTAAAACCGCAGCTTCATCGACCGTGGCTTCAACTGCTCAACCTACACCAGCTAAAAAGGGGCGAAAACCAAAAGCAGCCACAAATGAGGATGGTACTCCTTCAATTCCATCAAAAAGAGGCCCCAAAAAGGGGGCTGAACACGCCCAACTAACTTCATCTTCCTCATCACCGCTTGAGCCTAAAGAGGTCAAAGTCGGCAGAGGTCGAGGACGAAAGCGCAAGGTGGTAGACTCTGATGAGACAACGGCAGCAACGGCAGCAACGGCAGCGGCAGCAACAACGACCAAAAAACCTAGGAAACCCAAAGGATCAGCGGCGGCAGTTTCACTTGATAAACAACCGGAAAATCCTCCTCGCACTTCAGCCTTGGCAGCCGCCCTCGCCGAAGAGGATGATGATGATAATGTTAATGAGGATGCTGTTGCGGAGGATGATGATGCGGAAAAGTCGGACGTCACCGAGCTGGACTCGGACAATGAGACCATCATGAGTCTGCTGGACGCCGAGGAGAAGCGGATGAACAGCTTGCAACAACAGCAGCAACAACAACCATTGCCAAATCAAGCTAAGCCAGCAGATCCGAATTCAGCAAAGCCTGAGCACCTGCCTTTTGCATCACCCTCACCAGCAGACATCACCAAATCTCCCATAAACGCACCTAGTTCAGTTTCAAACACAGTTTTGCCTGCAGCCAAACCTAAACCATCATCTCTGTCTTCATTAGTGGAACTACCACAACCACCACCAAAGCGGAAGTACACTAAAAAGGTGGCGACAAACGCTACAGTTATTTCAAATAATCTAAACATTGCTGCTGATGTTGCCTCCGGTTTGCCGTCTGTTCCAAATAACACCGGCGGCAACAGCAGCAAAGATGAAAAAGTCGTTGATAGTGAAATTGGCAAAAAGATCAAAGGCCCCATCAAGGAGTCTGATAATTCGTCAGTAGCTGAGGGCAAAGACAAAGACAAAAACGATGATATTGAGGACGATGATGATGACGAGGACGACGACGACGATGATGATAGTTCGAGCGACGATGACAGCGACAGTGACAGTGACAGCGACGACAGTGATGACGACGACGACGACGACGACGACTTTGATGATGAGGCGACGGACAATGAAGAGGATGGGGAAAAGGAAACAAAAAAGACCATAACCTCTACAAATTCTGCCGTTTCCAAAACGCCAACAACAGCCTCGACTTCATCATCATCATCATCTTCAGCCACAACCAGCACTTCAACTGGAAAACGACCCGTTGGACGACCGAGAAAACGTCCTGAACCAAATTCAGCAGCCACAAACACCCCAGCCAAACTTCCCTACACCGGTAAAAAGCGAGGTCGAAAAAGCTTAAAAGAGCTGAACCAGCAGAGAAATCTGCGCAATCGAAAGTAGATAGATAAAGGGGGGCAATTTTCAAATCTAAAAAACAGCAATTTTACTATTTTATTCCTCTTTTAGTGAATCTCTTCATAGTGTTTAGAAATTCAACTTTTTGTTTACCTGCATTGTATCCATTTGTTCATTTTAAAGAAAAACATTTTTTGTCAATAAAAATGTGTGAAACCTGTTTTCTCACTGCAATAAAATTTACAAACATTTCCCTATTTGAGTTACAGTTTTTATTTTTATATTAAATAAGGTTAAACAGTACAACAGTAAAATGATCTGTTAAAAGTACTACAGTAGTGTTGACAAAACAGAGGTAATAGCCATAAGTTGAGTTAAAAAACTGAATGTGTTTGCTTTATGACATTTAAAAAGTTACAAGTGAAAAAAATAAAAATTGTTAACAAAGGAGTCAAAAAGAGCAGCAAGTCTCACAGTCTGTTGCAGTTGTTGTTCACAAGTTTTTTTGTTTCGTTTCACAGTTGTTGAATCACAAACTTAAATCAAGCAACGGACATTGTCATTGTTAGCAGCAAAACTGTCGAAGTGTTTGTGTCTGAACTGTCAGTCAGTTGCTGGCGCTGGTGTTTGAGTTGTAATGTTATTGAGAAAGTAATAGAAGTGATAATACAAGTAATAGTAGGATAATAATAAAACTGTAA